TCCCCCCCTCCTCTTGTCCCTCTTGAATGTTCAGAGTGCTCCTTTGTCACCTCTCCCATCTCCCACAGTCATCTTCACAGTGAGGTTCGGTAGAATGAGGACCCAGAAGGACCCCCTCCCTGTCCATCTCACCGTCACCGTAATCATTTCAGACAGGCACGACAAAGCCGCCCGCTCCACGGGTCCTTTTGTCAGCAGTGACTCAGAACAGTGGGGTCGATCACTCAGCCGCTCTCACCCCACAGAGACACACACACAAGAGACAAATCAAACAGGCTAAATGCACTCCTAAATGCTTCACTCTACTCTTTTTGTGCCCCTCAACTGGATCAGAAAGCCCCAGAGATGTCAGAGGGACGTCAGGTCTCAAAGCATTTAACAGTCTAAAACAATTCCCTTCTGGTTAAATAACAGTTTTTGACTGCAGATTTAAACATTCTGCTACGATGTGGAACTGTGATATATTAGAGAGGGAGGGAGGGAGTATGTTATCAGTACATAGAAATCCTGCCTTATGTATCTTTGCACTACGTCCTGTTCTCATACACAAAGGAAATACCCTCCACTACTGTCACACCCTGGCTTCTGGGACTCTATATGTTGAACCAGGGTGTGTTCATTCTATGTGTTCTGTTTCTTTGTTTGGGTGTTCTAGGTTGTCTGTTTCTATGTTTGCCTGTGTGACTCCCAATCAGAGGCAACGAGTGTCAGCTGTCGGCTGGTTTGTCTCTGATTGGGAGCCATATTTAAACTGTATGTTGTCCCTTGGGTGTTGTGGGTTTTTTGTTCCTTGTCGGTCTTTGTCACCGTGGACTTCACGAGTCGTTTATTGTTTTGTGTAGTGTGCTTATTATCACTGACGGTAATAAAGTCAATCATGTTCGCTCAACACGCTGCGTATTGGTCTACTCCTTTTCAAGACGATCGTGACAGAAAAACCCACCATACCAGGACCAAGCAGCGTGTCCAGGAACACACGCAGGAGGTGACTCTTGTGGATGTCCTCCTCGGTTTGGGGGCAGATTACTGAGGAGGAGGCCGTCCGGTACCGGGAAGGCGATAAAGGGGGAGACCCAGGCAGGAGAGGAGCAGCGGCGCCAAACGGGTCAACGTCGGACAGGCGAGAGGCAACCCCAATAAATTTTTAGGGGGGGGCACACGGCATGGGCGACTGGGCAGCAGGAGGCTGCCACAGGGCGAAATGGGAGACGGCCACCGGGTTACGGGAGCCATTGGCGAGAGGAGGGAAGGAAGTTGTAGAGGCATGGCGAGAGGTACTGAGGCGTATTGCCAGTCCGGTCCGGCCCGTTCCTGATCCCCGTTTAAGGCCAGTGGTGTGTGTTCCCAGTACGGTCCGGCCTGTTCCTGCTCCACGCACCAAACCTACGGTGTGGCGTCGCCAGCCCTGCCCGGCCTGTTCCTGCTCCACGCACCAAGCCTACGGTGTGCGTCGACAGCCCAGCCCGGCCTGTCCCTGCTCCAACGCACCAAGCCTACGGTGTGCGTCGCCAGCCCTGCCCGGCCTGTTCCTGCTCCACGCACCAAGCCTACGGTGTGCGTCGACAGCCCAGCCCGGCCTGTCCCTGCTCCACGCACCAAAACCTACGGTGTGCGTCGCCAGCCCTGCCCGGCCTGTTCCTGCTCCACGCACCAAGCCTACGGTGTGCGTCGACAGCCCAGCCCGGCCTGTCCCCTGCTCCACGCACCCAAACCTACGGTGTGCGTCGCCAGCCCTGCCCGGCCTGTTCCTGCTCCCACGCACCAAGCCTACGGTGTGCGTCGACAGCCCAGCCCGGCCTGTCCCTGCTCCCACGCACCAAGCCTACGGTGTGCGTCGCCAGCCCTGCCCGGCCTGTTCCTGCTCCACGCACCAAGCCTACGGTGTGCGTCGACAGCCCAGCCCGGGCCTGTCCCTGCTCCACGCACCAAACCTACTGTGTGCGTCGCCAGCCCTGCCCGGCCTGTTCCTGCTCCACGCACCAAGCCTACGGTGTGCGTCGACAGCCCAAGCCCGGCCTGTCCCTGCTCCACGCACCAAACCTACGGTGTGCGTCGACAGCCCAGCCCGGCCTGTCCCTGCTCCACGCACCCAAACCTACGGTGTGCGTCGCCAGCCCTGCCCCGGCCTGTTTCCTGCTCCACGCACCAAGCCTACGGTGTGCGTCGACAGCCCAGCCCGGCCTGTCCCTGCTCCACGCACCAAACCTACGGTGTGCGTCGCCAGCCCAGCCCGGCCTGTTCCTGCTCCACGCACCAAGCCTACGGTGTTGCGTCGCCAGCCCTGCCCGGCCTGTCCCTGCTCCAACGCACCGAGCCTACGGTGTGCGTCGCCAGCCCAGCCTGGCCTGTCCCTGCTCCACGCACCAAGCCTACGGGGTGCGTCGCCCAGCCCGGCCCGGCCTGTCCCTGCCACTCGCACCAAGTCTACGGTGCGCGTCGCCAGCCCGGCCCGTTCCTGCCACTCGCACCAAGCCAGGGGTGCGAGTCGTCAGTCCGGCACAACCCGTGCCTGGGTCATCGGTGCCAGATCAGGGTACCGCTTTATTGCTCCCCAACGGAGCTGAAGCTAGCCGCTCCTGCTACGTCCAGGTCAGCTCCAGCCAGCGGAGCCAGACTGGACCAGGGGCGCTATGGGGGTTCATTGGAGGGTGGTGGTTTAGGCCGGAGGCAGAACCGCCGCCGAGGAGGTATGCCCGCCCAGCCCTCCCCTGTTTTGCTTTAGTTGAGGCGCGGGTCGCAGTCCGCGCCTTTAGGGGGGGGGTACTGTCACACCCTGGCTCTGGGACTCTATATGTTGAGCCAGGGTGTGTTCATTCTATGTGTTCTGTTTCTTTGTTTGGGTGTTCTAGGTTGTCTGTTTCTATGTTTGCCTGTGTGACTCCCAATCAGAGGCAACGAGTGTCAGCTGTCGGCTGGTTGTCTCTGATTGGGAGCCATATTTAAACTGTATGTTGTCCCTTGGGTGTTGTGGGTTTTTGTTCCTTGTCGGTCTTTGTCACCGTGGACTTCACGAGTCGTTTATTGTTTTGTGTAGTGTGCTTATTA